CTGCACCTGTCCGATGAGCAGCAGCTGGGCAAGCAGCCTGCCCCCATCCAAGGAGCAGCAGACACATGTGCAGCTCGCTCCTGCCTGAAGAGAAGCAGCCACGCAACAAGACAGCCCCCGTATGAGGTGCAGCAGCTGCACATGCAGCTCAATCCAGCCCAAGGAGCAGCAGCCACACGAACAGACAGACCGACCACACCTGAGGAGTGGTAGCCTTGCGGAGCCCACACTAGTCCAAGGAGCAGCACCCACACGCAATCTGCTGCTGTCCGATGAGCAGCAGCTGGGTGAGCATCCCGCCTACATCTGAGGAGCAGCAGCCACATGTGCAGCTCACCCCAACCTGAGGAGCAGCAGCCACGCAAGCAGCCCATCCCCCATCTGAGGAGCAACAGCTGCATGAGCAGCCTGCACCCATACAAGGAGCAGTAGCCCTGTAAGCAACCTGCACCTGTCCAAAGAGCGGCAGCCTCATGAGCAGCCCACCCCATTTGAGGAACAGCAGCAGCGTGCAGCCAGCCACGATCCAAGGAGCAGCAGCTATGTGAGCAGTCCACGCCAATCCGAGGAGCAGAAGCCACGTGAACAGCCTTGCACGACTCAACATCTAGATCAGTCAGTGAGACCAAAAATGGGTAGAGTATTCTTGGATTCAATCCCTTGCTTTGCATCACTTTGTCCAAGGAGCAGCAGCTGCACTCAGCCCGCCCCCACCTAAAGAGCAGGAAGCTCGTGATCAGCCCACCCCTATCCAAGGAACAGCAGCTGTGCGATCGCCCTCACCTACCAGCCAGAGGAGACACCAGTGCTGCAAACAGCACCCACCAGAGGAGCCGCTGCCAACTGAGAAGCAGCCACTACTGTGACCACTTGAGCAACTGCAGCCCGAGGAACCATTGCCACCCAAGGAGCAGCCCCTGCACGACTCGACATCTAGATCAGTTAGTGAGACCAAAAATGGGTAGACAAAGTACCCCCAAAGGAAAGAAAATGAGATATCACCAGAAAAGTGTCTAAGTGAAACAGAGGCATGCAATATGACAGAAAAAGAATTCAGAATAAGGGTCCTAGAGTGTATAAACCGGTTGGAGGAAAAAATCAACAACTTATGTAAGAATCAAGAAGAAATAAAGAGTGATATTGCTGCAATAAAAAAAAACAACATGGAAAGTTTCAACAGTAGGCTAGGAGAAGCGGGGGACCGAATTAGCAAATTAGAAGACAGGGTAGTAAAACACACCCTAACTGAACTGCAATTGGAGAAAAAAATTAAAAGACAGGAGGAGAGCCTAAGGGAGTTATGGGAAAACATGAAACGAAGCAACATATGAATAATAGGGATGCCAGAACAACAGGAAGAGGAACAAGGATTAAAAACCTATTTGAAGAAATAATGTCAGAGAACTTCCCTGAGGTGGGGAAGAAAAAAGTCACACAAGCACAGAGTCCCAAGCAAGAGGAACCCTAAAAGACCCACACCAAGACACATCATTATTAGCATGGCAAATATTCAGGACAAAGAGAGAATCTTACAGGCTTCAAGAGAGAGACAAAAAGTTACATACAAGGGGTCTCCCATTAGATTATCAAATGATTTCTCAACAGAAACACATCAGGCCAGAAAAGAATGGATGGAAATTTACAAAGGGACTCAAAGCAAGGGATTGAATCTAAGAATCCTCTATCCAGCAAGACTATCATTCAAAATTGAAGGGGAAATAAGAAGCTTCACAGACAAAAAAAGGCTAAGGGAGTTTATCACCACCAAGCCAGCAATGCAAGAAATGCTAAAGGGACTGATTTAAAAAGAAGAAATAAAAAGCTAAGAAAGAAAACAGGCACAAAAAATAGAAATGGCTACAAACAAGTACCTTTCAATACTAACTTTAAATGTAAATCGACTAAATGCACCAATCAAAAGACATTGAGTAGCTGAATGGATAAAAAAAAAAAAAACATGACCCATACATTTGCTGTCTACAAGAGACCCACCTCAGAAGACGGGACTCACACAGATTGAAAGTGAAGGGATGGAAAAACATCTTTCAGGCAAATGGAAATGAAAAAAAAGCTGGGGTAGCAATACTTATATCAGACAAAGTAGACCTCAAAGTTAAGGCCACAACAAGAGATAAAAGGGGAAATAAGAAGCTTCACAGACAAAAAAAGGCTAAGGGAGTTCATCACCACCAAGCCAGCAATGCAAGAAATGCTAAAGGGACTGGTGTAAAAAGAAGAAATAAAAAGCCCAGAAAGAAAACAGCCACACAAAAAAAGAAATGGCTACAAACAAGTACCTTTCAATAATAACTTTAAACGTAAATGGACTAAATGGTCCAATCAAAAGACATCGAGTGGCTGAATGGATAAAAAAACATGACCCATACATTTGCTGTCTACAAGAGACCCACCTCATTAAAAGGGACTCACACAGACTGAAAGTGAAGGGATGGAAAAATATCTTTCAGGCAAATGGAAATGAAAAAAAAGCTGGGGTAGCAATACTTATATCCGACAAAATAGACCTCAAAGTGAAGGCCATAACAAGAGATAAGGAAGGCCACTTCATAATACTAAAGGGATCAATACAACAAGAGGATATAACCCTGATAAACATATATGCACCCAATGCAGGAGCACCCACATACATAAGAAAACTCCTGGAAGACATCAGGGGAGAGATCGACAACAATACAATCATAGTAGGGGACTTTAATACACCACTGACATCACTGGATAAATCTGCTAGACAAAAAATCAGCAAAGAAACAGCAATCCTAAATGACTCACTAGATCAGATGGACTTAATTGACATCTTCAGAACACTTCACCCCAAAGCAACAAAATATACGTTCTTCTCAAGTGCTCATGGGACATCTTCAAAAATAGACCACATATTGGGTCACAAACAAAGTCTCCCCAAATTCAAGAAGATTGAAATCATAAAAAGCATCTTCTCAGACCATGATGGCATAATATTAGAAATAAACTACAATAAAAACAACCCAAAATACTCAAACACTTGGAAGCTGAATAGCATGTTATTAAATATTGATTGGGTTACCAATGAGATCAAAGAAGAAATTAAAAACATCCTGGAAACTAATGACAATGAAAACACAACAATCCAAAACCTTTGGGACACAATGAAAGCAGTCCTGAGAGGGAAGTTTATAGCTCTACAGGCCTACCTCAACAAACAAGAAAAAATGGTAGTAAATCATCTAAATCTACAGCTCAAAGAATTAGAAAGAGAGCAACAAGAAAAGCCCAGAGTGAGCAGAAGGAAGGAGATAATAAAGATTAGAGCAGAAATAAATGACATAGAGACCAAAAAAACAATACAGAAAATCAATGAAACCAAGAGCTGGTTCTTTGAAAGGATAAACAAGATCGACAAACCTCTAGCCAGGCTCACCAAAAAGCAAAGAGAGAGGACCCAAATAAACCAAATCAGAAATGATAGAGGCGAAATAACAACAGACCCCACAGAAATACAAATGATTGTTAAAAAATACTATGAACAACTCTACTCCAACAAACTAGACAACCTGGAGGAAATGGACATATTTCTAGAAAAATACAACATTCCAAAACTTAATCAGGAAGAATCTAAAAATCTCAATAGGCCAATAACTATGGAAGAAATTGAAGCAGTCATCAGAAAGCTTCCAGCAAACAAAAGCCCAGGACCAGACGGCTTCACAGGGGAGTTTTACCAAACATTCAAGGAAGAACTAAAACCTATCCTCCTCAGACTACTACAAAAAATTCAAGAGGAAGGAACACTTCCAAGCTCATTCTATGAAGCCAGCATCACCCTAATACCAAAACCAGGTAAAGACAACACAATGAAAGAGAATTACAGGCCAATATCCCTCATGAACATAGATGCCAAAATCCTCAACAAAATCTTAGCAAATCGGATCCAACAGTACATCAGAAGGATCATACACCATGACCAAGTAGGATTTATCCCAGGGATGCAAGGATGGTACAACATCCGTAAATCAATAAACGTGATACATCACATAAACAAATTGAGAGAAAAAACCACATAGTCATATCAATTGATGCAGAAAAAGCATTTGACAAAATCCAACACCCATTTTTGATAAAAACTCTTAGCAAGATTGGAATATAAGGATCATACCTCAACATAATCAAAGCCACATAACAAACCCACAGCCAACATCATACTCAATGGGCAAAAACTAAAACCATTTCCCTTAAGGACAGGAACAAGACAGGGATGCCTACTCTCACCACTCCTAACAAAATATACGTTCTTCTCAAGTGCTCATGGGACATCTTCAAAAATAGACCACATATTGGGTCACAAACAAAGTCTCCCCAAATTCAAGAAGATTGAAATCATAAAAAGCATCTTCTCAGACCATGATGGCATAATATTAGAAATAAACTACAATAAAAACAACCCAAAATACTCAAACACTTGGAAGCTGAATAGCATGTTATTAAATATTGATTGGGTTACCAATGAGATCAAAGAAGAAATTAAAAACATCCTGGAAACTAATGACAATGAAAACACAACAATCCAAAACCTTTGGGACACAATGAAAGCAGTCCTGAGAGGGAAGTTTATAGCTCTACAGGCCTACCTCAACAAACAAGAAAAAATGGTAGTAAATCATCTAAATCTACAGCTCAAAGAATTAGAAAGAGAGCAACAAGAAAAGCCCAGAGTGAGCAGAAGGAAGGAGATAATAAAGATTAGAGCAGAAATAAATGACATAGAGACCAAAAAAACAATACAGAAAATCAATGAAACCAAGAGCTGGTTCTTTGAAAGGATAAACAAGATTGACAAACCTCTAGCCAGGCTCACCAAGAAGCAAAGAGAGAGGTCCCAAATAAACCAAATCAGAAACGATAGAGGCGAAATAACAACAGACCCCACAGAAATACAAATGATTGTTAAATAATACTATGGACAACTCTACTCCAACAAATTAGACAATCTGGAGGAAATGGACATATTTCTAGAAAAATACAACATTCCAAAACTTAATCAGGAAGAATCTAAAAATCTCAATAGGCCAATAACTATGGAAGAAATTGAAGCAGTCATCAGAAAGCTTCCAGCAAACAAAAGCCCAGGACCAGACGGCTTCACAGGGGAGTTTTACCAAACATTCAAGGAAGAACTAAAACCTATCCTCCTCAGACTACTACAAAAAATTCAAGAGGAAGGAACACTTCCAAGCTCATTCTATGAAGCCAGCATCACCCTAATACCAAAACCAGGTAAAGACAACACAATGAAAGAGAATTACAGGCCAATATCCCTCATGAACATAGATGCCAAAATCCTCAACAAAATCTTAGCAAATCGGATCCAGCAGTACATCAGAAAGATCATACACCATGACCAAGTAGGATTTATTCCAGGGATGCAAGGATGGTACAATATCCGCAAATCAATCAACGTGATACATCACATAAACAAATTGAAAGAAAAAAACCACATGGTCATATCAATTGATGCAGAAAAAGCATTTGACAAAATCCAACACCCATTTTTGATAAAAACTCTCAGCAAGGTGGGAGTAGAAGGATCATACCTCAACATAATAAAAGCCATATATGACAGGCCCACAGCCAACATCATACTCAATGGACAAAAACTAACACCATTTCCCCTAAGAACAGGAACAAGACAGGGATGCCCACTCTCGCCACTCCTCTTCAACATAGTCCTGGAAGTATTAGCCATTGCAATTAGACAAGAAGAAGAAATAAAAGGCATCCAAATTGGAAAAGAGGAAGTAAAACTGTCCTTATTTGCAGACATGATATTATACATACAAAACCCTAGAGACTCCATCAAAAAACTACTAGACTTAAGAGATCAACCGAAGGACTTGTATGCATGCATATAAGCATAACCAATGGACATAAGACACTGCGGGTAGGGGAGGCCAGGGGATTGTCAAGGGGTGGGGAGGATACATATGTAATAACCTCTTTAAGCATTTAAGCAATAAAAAACAACAACAAACATTTAAAAAGATAAAGAAAACACTTAAAAAATATAGTTCCTCACCCATCCATACAAAGGAGACATATGTAATACGTTTTGTAATACTTTAAGCAATAAAAAACAACAACAAACATTTAAAAAGATAAAGAAAACACTTAAAAAATATAGTTCCTCATATTGTGACCCATCCATAAAAAAAAAAAAAGGTTATGCTTATGGGACAAGTTGAAATTGTAATTAGATCAGGTATTAAACCTACATTTGGTATTGTTTTAAAAAATAAATTACCCCATAGGCCCAAAATGGTGTCTTTTGTGCTAAAAGCCTATGATATCAGACCCAAATTCTTCCTATGAATTGTAAGGGAAGAAAAATTTTCTTTGACTGTCTTTGGTCCCTGGCTGGTTCTAAAAATTAAACTCACTATGACAGATCAATAGGAAAAAAAGTATAAATTTTATTAAATTTTTACATGTAGTGGGAACCTTCATGAGAGAATAAAGGCCCAAAGAAGTGACCAGAGCAGGAACCTTTTATACCTTTTAGGAAAAACTAAATGAATTTGTGAAAATTTAGCAAAACAAAGGGGTTTCGTCAGTAATAAATGGTAAAGGTAAGGGTTAATTTGGAGATTCCTCTAGTGCCTTCTCTGGACTGATTAAGAGTCTGTCTTCAGTAAAAGAATATATTTCCTGCTTTTAGGCTGAAAAGGGAAGTTAGGGAGTGTTTTCAGCATTTACTGATTCTTAATTGTCTTCAGCACAAAATAATATTTATATCAATGAGCCGTATTTTGTCGTGACATAGTCTGGTTTCCTTCAGGATAAACATAAAATATCTCTCCATTTATTTTCCATCTATTTTGATGTCTTCTATTAGAGTTTTATAGCTTTCCTCATAGTGATCATGTACATATTTTATCAGATTTATATATATTTCATTTTTCTTTGGTGATAATATAAATATTTGTGGGTTTTTTTAAGTTTCAAACTTGAATTGTTCATTGTTGATATATATGAAAGCAATTGATATTGGTATATTAACCTTGTCTCCTGCAACTTTGTTATAAATTGACAACTTTTTTTATGCTGTATATAATCAGAGCCATTAAAAGCATTAGGCACCCTAACTGGTTGGGCTCAGTGGATAGAGTGTTGGCTCAAGGATTGAAGGGTCTTTGTGCAAGAAAGGGAGGAAATCAATTGATGTGTCTCTCTCACACCAATATTTCTCTCTTTGTGTCTCTCCCTCTATTTTCCACTCTCTCTAAAAATGAATGGAAGAAGATGCCCTAACTTTTTTGACTCAATGGATAGAGCGTCGGCCTGAGGACTTAAGGGTCCCAGGTTCAATTCCAGTCAAGGGCATGTACCTTGGTTGCAGGCACATCCCCAGTAGGGAGTGTGTAGGAGGCAGCTGATCGATGTTTCTCTCTCATCGATGTTTCTAACTGTCTATCCTTCTCCCTTCCTCTCTGTAAAAAATCAATGAAATATATTTAAAAAATAATAAAAATTAAAATCATCATTCTCCCCTTTAAAAAAAAAACAACAAAAAAATAAAATAAAAATGAATGGAAGAACACTCTTGGGTGAGGATTAACAACAAAAACAGAAAAGCATTAGGCAATGGTGTTCCACTATTATATTTATGCTGAAGGGACTAATCTGCAAGTAATATTTAGAATGGGTTCAAAGGAAAAGAGGCTAGAGATAGGGAGTCCATGTAGGAGGCTTTCTTGTGAGCCCTCCATAAGACAACGAGATTCTGAAGAAGGATATTGCAGCACCAATGGGAAGGTAAGAATAGATTCAATAGGCAATTACCCCCAATTTCCCTTCTTCTTCATGTGTATGGGTCTCTTCACACAGAGTTTCCTTCTGGGGATGCCCTTACCATCCTCTTCACCTAACATCTAATTAATTATCAAAACTCAGCTCAGGTGTTGTGCCCTCCAATGATCCCTCTTCTCTATTATCTCCTCACACTCCCCTGTCGTTTTCTCTTTCAAAGCTGTCAGTGATGTTTACTAGTATATTCATTAATATATAATGTATTTGTCTGTTCACCAGTCTCTTTCATTAGAACATAAAATCTGAGTAGTTCAGTATTTGTTCTAATAAATGTCCACATAAATGAATAATTTATTCAAGTCTGTTTTGGGGATTTACAACATTACCAAGTATGTGACAGTTATTATATCAGATTTACTCTTAAGAAACTGAAATCATAGAACTTCAAAAAAATGAAGCTTCAGATCAGCAAGGAAGCAAACAACCCATATCTGGAATTAATCAGTTCCTCAAAACTGAGTTTTGAGTCACAGTGTTTCTTCCTGTGCCTCTAGTGATATTGATATGATTTTAAATGGCGAGTTTAAAGGTCTAAGTATCTCATCCACATTGCACACAAGAAGTTTATCTTTCAAGCCCTCCTCTTTCCTAAGGGCTCAGAACTTTTCCTTGAGAAGGCAGGCAGCTCTGGAATGCCTGGGGAAGAAACAGTCTACAAAAGTCTCTGAGCCTGGGACTAACTACTACTTCTGTTTCCAGTGGGAGCACCAAGGTGGAAAGCTGGTAAGAGAAGTCTCAGGGCTGGGGAGACTAGGACAGTGAAGATGGTTGGCAGGTCCAAGTCAAATAGATAGAGGATAAATATTTCAGGAGGGAAGAGGAAAGAGACAAGGTTTCTGATATGGGGGCGGTATAACCCATGAGCATAGGACAAAGAGAAGAATCAGATCTGGCCAATAAGGGGAAAGGTCTTCTTCATATTCCTTCTCAGATTCATCACAGAATTGTGTAAAACTCAAATGAGAAAGAAGCTGGTTAGAAGAAAAAGAACTATGAAATCTTTAAAAAGCACACTAAAAATCTAAATGGTTATATATAATTTTACTCTTATTGCTTCTACCACTACTGTTATCTTCCCTCTTTCTACACAGAAAAGATGGTGCTAGATCTTCTGGAATGCTTTCCTCCCCTCCTATTGCTGCTGGGACTTTGGGGACCAGTGTATTCACTTTATGCTTTGCCTAAGAATCTCACCAAGGCTCAGTGGTTTGAAATTCAGCATATACAACCAAGCCCTCTGCAATGCAACAAGGCAATGCATGGTGTCAATAATTATACTCAGCACTGTAAGCCTCAAAACACCTTTCTGCATGACTCCTTCCAGAATGTGGTTGCTGCCTGTGAGTTGCCCAAGAGTGTCTGCAAGAAAGGCCACCAGAGCCCAAAACCTATTAACCTCACTAACTGCAATCTCACTGCAGGGAAGTATCCTAACTGCCACCACAAAGATGCTGCCCTGTACAAGTTCTTCATTATTGCCTGTGACCTCACTCACAAGAGAGACCCTCCCTCTCATTTGGTTCCTGTTCACTTAGATAAGGTTGTTTAAAGTTTTTACCATTTTGCCTCTCACTTAGTACAGGCTCCTTTATGCTCTCTCCTGCCTTTTCTTTGTTGATATCCCTAGTTCCCATAGAAGAAAAAAGGAAAGTATTGGGAGAATTAGAGTGTCAAGGACACCAGATCAGAGTTGAGACAAAAAGAAACAGGATTCTTTTCTGCTTTGTAGCTCTGTGTGTTTCAAAGGAAGACAACAAGAAAGAGGGCAAAGAAGTGTCCTGACCTCCATATTTTTAACCTGGGAACTTCTGCCAAGCTTTGTTATGCTGCATTAACAGCAATAAAACACTTTCTGCTGCATTCCAATGAGTGAGTATGAGTGAGAACCCTTTTGTTATCAGAAGAGGACTGACACCAAGGTGGGTCGGTCCCAGCACCCTTTGGAAATAGGCACTTCCGTGGTGTCAGGCGGAAAAAATTTCAGGACACTCACATAGGAGGAGTTCAGCGATAGTGGCAAGATTTATTTGTTTACTTAGTTATTTATTTAAATTTATCTTTATTACTGAAAGTATTACAGTTGTCTCATTTGTTTATTTCCCATTGACCCCCCTCCACCCCACACCCACCCTTCCTAGGCCTTCACTGAGGAGGATAAAAGGCTAATTCCAATGTAACCTTGATACTTGGTAGTGGGCGGGGGGGTGGCTAGTAACCTAAATCTGTGCCAGCAAACCCAGTGTACATTCTTGATAACCTATAATTAAGTCACTACCTCTTTCCCAGAAACTGGTCTTGCAGAACCTGTTATATAAATACGGTGGCCATAAAACTGTGAAGAGTGCACTGCCTGGGAGGGGGGTTATTAACACTGGAACCAGGCCAGATATGGCATGGAGACCCCCAACACCTGAGGGCCTTCTTGAGAAGCCTGTAAAAAGGACCAGAAGCATAATCCATTATTTTCAGGACAAAGACCCCAGAAAGATATGAAAGAGAAACTCCCTGCATGTTATTTTACTCAGACTTGGGAAGTTATTCCTCTGAGTCCGCCAGTGAAGTAAACAGTGTCACTCCTTTTCTCAAAAAGCATTGCTTGGTATTTCTCTGGTCTTCTGCAACATCACCACTCTATTGTCTGTGTCCATGGGCAATGCATACATGTTCCCTGGTTAATCACTCCCTACCATCCCCCCAACCCAAGCCTTGCCTCTGAAATTTGTCAGACTCTTCCATCATTCTATGTCTCTGGATCTATTTTGTTTATTAGTTTATTTTGTTCGTTAGATTGTTACAGAACAGCAAAGAAATATCAAGCACACTTCCTAGAGAAAGGTAGGGACCCCGTTTATTAACACTAGTGGACTCCGGGAATAATTTCCAAATCAGAGTGAAGTAACACGCAGAGGCTCCCTCCTCATTCCCTGCCTCCCCTCCCCCACCCCCCTTGTCCCACAAGATTCTTTTAGCCTTGTGGAGCAACGACCATGGGATGTTATGGTGAACAGGGGTGACGACCGCTCTTAGCTACTTCCTGCTGTAAAGGGACAATGACCAAGGGGTTAGCATCCCGCTTCTTCCTCTCAGAGGGATTTTTAGGAAGTTCATCTGGTTGCAGGCAGGCAGAGGTAAGCAGTGGTCCCACACACGTAGGATGTTCCTGCAGGGGGCACTAGGGGTAGGTAGTGTTTTCAGCCTTGGGGGTAGAGTTGCATAGTTCATCTGGGAGGTGACCTGTTGGATGTTGGCCTTGTGTACTGCTGAAACAAATAGGAGCCACATTAGTTAGCTGCACATTGGCCGTGACAGGTCCTATCCAATACAATTTAACCCCCCCCCCCCCGCCCACGTGTTTTTGGTAGTAGATTCATAACATGCCGCAGGTTGATAAGTATAGCTAACAAAAATCTGGCTTGATTGGGTTTTCTCTTGGACTACCAGGTATAGCATTCCTGGGTAGTGAGTTTCTAAGCAAGGAGAAAAGGATGGCATGACAAGGTGTAATCCAACAATTTATGATAAAGCCTTTGTTTCCTTGCTGTGTGGGGAGCAGTAATTTTATGGTGCTTCTGTGTCCCAGCAAGAGCAGATGAGTTCTCCTCCTGGTACTAGTCTCAAATTCTGCTGGCACTCATAAAAAGACAAAATGAGAATTATTAGAAAATTAAAACCTATGATTATCCAGAATTACCAGAGCATATTACCTTTAGGAGGAGATAAGAAAAAAAGATTAGTGTTAGGGAGAATTCAGCAGGGTGTTATCTGAATTCCTTGGAGCAGGTTGCTTGGCCAGATCTGCTGTCTTCTTGAGGGTGATCCACAGTGGGTGTTTCTGGTCAGAGGTCACCTTCCACTCAGGCTGGGCTTCACTCCACTGGTGGGCTGCCTTCACCTGGGAGTGGTGGATCCAGATGTTTAGTCCTGCAACCTTAATATGTTTAATATGACTGGATAGGGTCCCTTCCAGGTAGGCTTGAGGGGCTCCTTTTTCCAATCCTTTACCCAAACCTGGTCTCCAGGTTTATAAGGATGTATGGCTGTTGCTAGAGAGATGGGTAGTCAGTCAATAACCCACCTGTGGACCTCAAAGACAGTTTTTCCAAGTCCTTGTAGTTGTTTCTGGATTTCTAATTTTTCTATTTCCCACAAATCTCCTTTTGGCCGAATCCTACCATATAGAATTTCAAAGGGAGAGAAACCTACCCTGGCCCTTGGGGCACAACATACCTGCAGGAGTACAAGAGGCAAGATATCTGTCCAGGGTAAGGTTGTCTCTTGGCATAGCTTAGCCATAGCCTGCTTCAGAGTCCAGTTCATGTGCTCCACTTTCCCTGAACTCTGAGGCCTGTAGATTCCATTTAATTCCTAAAGCCTTGTCTACCTGTTGTACTATTTCTGCTACAAAGGCTGGGGCATTATCGGATCCTATGGTCAGAGGCATTCCATACTGTGGAATTATATCCTTCAGCAATGCCTTAGTGACTTCTCTCACCTTTTCAGTGTGAGTGGGACATACCATGACCCAACCTCAAAAGGTGAAAACAAAGACTAGCAGGTATTTATTCCCTCTGCTAGGCCCTATTTCTGTAAAATCTACTTCTAAGTCCTCAAAAGGAGCTTGCCCACAGAGCTGGACTCCTATCGGTCCCATAGGACCCTGTTTGGCATTGTTCTGAACACAGAAGAGGCAACGCTGAGAGACTGAGGCACACAAGGAGGGTAGACAGGCTATTAGGTAGTACCTGCCTAACAAAGCTTCTAGGGCAGCCTTTCCTAACTGAGTTCATGATGCTGGAGGACTACCTTATGGGCTAACTGTTCTGGGATATAGACCCTATGATCTGGGAGTATCCACCAGCCTTCCATTCTTCTCTTGCCCCTTTCTTTCTGGGCCCATTTCTCTCCCTGAGGAGTGTATTTTGGAGGTTCAGGTAATTCAGGGACCAACATGATCCATGCCGGTGCTGCTTGTTCTTTAGCAGCCAGCTTGACTGCAGAGTCAGCACGCTGGGTTTCCTTCTGATACTGAGTCATTCTAGCATTAGTCAGCCATTGCTGCCCCCTTTCTTCCATCAGGGTGAAAATAGCATGAGGTACTTTTACATTTAAGTTTTGTCCTAAGGTAAGCTTATCCGATTCCTTGACTAATAATGCCATGGCTGCAAGGGCCCCGAGGCACGGGGGGGCCACCCAGAGGCAACTGGGTCAATCTGCTTGGAGAGATAGGCTACTGGTCTTTGCCAGGGTCCAAACTCCTGGGTTAGAACTCCTAGGGCTACCCCGCTGTTCTTGTGAACAAAAAGATTAAAGTCTCGGGTCACATCTGGTAGCCCTAGTGCCAGGGCCTCAGTGAGCTTTGCCTTTATGGTGATGAAGGCTTTCTCCTGTTCAGGACCCCAGTCAATGGGTGCCTTCTCTTCCCCTTTTAAAGCTTCATAGAGAGGATGGGCCAGGTCTGAAAACCCTGGGATCCAAATTCAACAGAATCGCTCCCAGGAATTCCCAAATCTGCCGCCGGGTGCTAGGGACTGCGATGGCAAGGCTTGGCCAGGTCTGAAAACCCTGGGATCCAAATTCAACAGAATCGCTCCCAGGAATTCCCAAATCTGCCGCCGGGTGCTAGGGACTGCGATGGCACATACTGCCTGTTTCCTTTCAGTCCCTAGCCTTCATTTCCCTTGGGTGATCCAGAAGTCTAGATACTTGACTTCTTTCTGACAAATCTGTGCCTTTTTCTTAGACACCCAATAACCTGTTTCAGTTAGTAATCTCAGAAGGGCTCGTGTTCCCTCTCAGCACTGAGCTTGTGTGCAGCTAGCCAGTAGGGGGTCGTCTACATACTGGAGTAGAACACACCCCAAGTCCGAATTTAGAAATTTAGACAGAACAGATGCTAGTGCTTCACTAAAAAGAGTGGGGGAGTTCTTGAACCCTTGTGGCAGTCTGGTCCAGGTGAACTGCTCCTTGGCCCCTGTAGTTGGGTTTTCCCATTTGAAAGCGAAGAGAAGCTGACTGGAAGGCACTAATCGAAGACAGAAAAAGGCATCTTTCAGATCTAGGCATGTACACCATTCCACCTCTGAGGGGACAAGTCCCAGAAGAGTGTAGGGGTTTGGCAGTGCTGAATGCAGGGTTATAACAGCCTCATTAACAGCCCATAGATCCTGTACGGGGCAGTAGTCATTAGTGGCAGGTTTTTTTCACAGGCAATTGAGGTGTGTTCCATGGAGACCTGCATCGTTTAACAAGTTCCCACTGAAGCAGCCGGTCTAAGTGGACCTGGATTCCTAGGCGTGCTTCCCTTGGAATTGGATATTGGTGGATTTTAACAGGCTGTGCCCCAGGCTTTAAGTCGATCAGTACCTGGGTGTGATCCTTAGCCAGGCCTGGAGGATTCCCTTCTGCCCAGACCAGTGGGAATTCTTTCTCTAATTCAGGTTCTAATGGTGAGGCCTTTGACTGGGTGGTATAAAGTCTCCATTTTTCCTCCCTCGGCACTGCTAAGGACAGGATCATTGGGGAGGTCTCTTCACCTAGGTTCGTGGTCGGCAAACTCTGGCTCGCAAGCCACATGCGGCTCTTTGTCCC